TTGTGTTTCTCTGCTCTGATATCCTTGTTATTCATCCCCCTGTAGTGTTTCCAAATTGTGGCCATGGCTAATATGTGGCAATTTGTGATCTCAGCCCTAGGGGATCATATAAAATAGTATTATATTCTTTATATTCAAATATCTGCTGGCATTACGTTCTCCAGCTTCAGTTCCTTCAAATCTGACCTTTGCTTAAGTTGTCATAGGACTATTGCACAAATCATATGTATAATTAAAATAACTGTGAGAACTGTGTGTTATGTTGTGGATATGCAATGTTGTGTGTGTTCTATATATATGTGTTTCTGGAGTGGGGAATGATCCAGTGTCACACTATTTTAAGGGGAATACTACACACTTTGAGCTCACTCAAGCAATAGCAATATGACATGAGCTACAGGAATTACACAGTAGTACTATGTGTACTTGCAGTTAATTTTTGTGTGTTATGTCTTTAGTCTGTTTACAGTTTCTCTCAACTTGTGAAAAGTGGCCATGTGCAGTCTATGTCTGTTTAAGTTTTATAAATTTTAACTTTTTTTTTATTTTTTTTGAGAAGGAGTATCGACTCTGTCACCCAGACTGGAGTCGTAGCGTGATCTCGGCTCACTGTAACCTCCACCCTCTGGGTTCAAGCAATTCTCCTGCCTCAGCCTCCCTAGTAGCTGGAATTACCTGGCTAATTTTTGTACTTTTAGTAGAGACAGGGTTTCACCATGCTGGCCAAGCTGGTCTCGAACTCCTGGCCTCAAGTGATCCACCCGCATTGGTCTCCCAAAGTGCTGGTATTACAGGCGTGAGCCACTACGCCCAGCCAATTTTAACTTTTTCTAATAGATTTATATGTATTTTATGGTAGTAAATGAAAAAATAGACTAGTATTTACATATACTTTATGCATTCATGACATACCTTTTTCTTATTTTTTTAAATATTTCTAGGCTACATAATTCTCAGAATTTTTTCAAATTGTTGCAAATCTCAAAAAATTTTCTAATATATTTATTTTTAAAAATCCATGTGTAAGTGGACCCATGCAGTTCAAATTCAGGTTGTTCACAGGTCAACTGCATAGTTCAGAGGTTGTGGTTTATCTATATAATGGAATACTTAAAAAAAAGTTAGGTCTATACGTACTGACATGGAAAGACACTGTTGGCTTGGAATTCACAGATTATCATTTGTGGTTTCCCCTCTTTGTGAACCATGCTGAAAGTCCATGGCATCTAAACATGTACCATTCTGCCCTATCATGAAAGAGCCACACCTCTCTTAGACCTCTCTGAGTAAAGAAGAAAAGAGCTGGACAGTGAGTCTGGCCTTGCCCTGGGCTCCATCTCAGCATGCCTTTGCTCTTCTCCACCAGTTTGTGTGTGTCCTCCTGAAGAGATATAAACTGAAGCCACCTATCTGCACCTGTGATGGAAGTAAAGATTATGTAAAGAGGCCTCTGAATGTGACTGGGCTAAGCAATGCTGTCTGCTTTCTCCCAAACCCTACATCCCCACCTAGCATCACATCATACACCTTGAATATATACAATTTTTGTCAATTATACCTCAATAAAACTAAAGAGAAATTAGTTCCCTTAATTTTCTACAGCATGTCTATTTGATTTATTCATATGTGAAGGAAGAAATAAGAACTAAATACTAATCACCATGGAAACTTACTGACAAACATCTACAAAGTCTTTAGCTAAAATCCAAGGAACCTTAACTACACCATCTACAATCTGATCTATTTATAGTCAGCTTTTAACTCATCTAGGAAACACCTGCAGAATTTAGGAAAACCCCTAACTATTTCAAACCCTACAATTGTTTAGAGAATGTAAAATCTCAGAATCAGAATAGGACTTAAAGGTGATCTGGTCCAAACACCCCATTCCCAAGAAAACTAGAGCTCCAAGAACAAAGCTGGCTCAGACCAGAGCCCACACCAGACCAAGGATGTCCTGATCCCTGATCCATGAGGCCCTCTCTGGCTCCCCTCTCCCTTCAGAAAAAAACATAATGATCTGAAAAATGTTGCACAGCTGCACAAATGGCAAGAGGAAAGCAAAATCAGGACTCAACTAAACTTCCACTTCATTGTAACACAACTTGGTTTCCCACATTCTCTTTTTCTTGGCAGTGTTAGTTATCATTGCAGACTGTGGTATAAGGAGGAGTCCCATGAGAAAATTCTTCCTTAGCATCATCTCCCCTAGCTTCAATGCTTAGCCATGCCTCCAGCACAATCAAAATCGACAGTGCTACAAAGCACCAAACCATAGCTTCCTTACATATAGCTAAATCCATTTACCCAAATGCAGTCATTCATTTAACAAGTACTTACTGAGTACCAACTTTATAACAGGCACAGGTCTAGTCCTGAGATATAGCATTGCAGTTGCAGCTGGATTTATGGTTGTGTCCCCTTATACCTACCCACCTAAGATACTAGAGGGTCTGCTACAGCCATGGCATTTGGTAGTGCACTGTACCACACTATGTGTAGGTATTAAGAGTCTTCATAATCATGTCTACTGCCTGACTTTGGAGGTTAGAACTAGCATTATTAGATGCAAGCACATTTATCTGCATTGCCAAAACCCCAGTCAGCCCCGGTGCAGTAAAAAACAGATGGTGTGCCTATAACTCATGATTGACACATTGCTGCAACAGATGCTACGGATGTCCTTGCTGAAGATCTAAATAAGTGGTCTCTAGGAATGAAAAACAGATTTTAATGCAAACAAAGATTGCCTAGAGATTCTATAAGATTTTCTATTTTACTTTATACCCTAACTAATTCTGTTTGGTTCCACAAGTATTTAATATGTGTATATTCTATTTCATACACTGTTCTAAGAATTGCAGAAACAAAAATGGGTAAGATGTTTTCCCTTCCCTCAAAGTTCTGCTGATGAGATGGACACACAAAGACACTGTCGGTTGGGAGCAGACCCCCCCAAAATTTGGCCATAAACTGGCCCCAAAACTGGCCATAAACAAAATCTCTGCAGCACTGTGGCATGTTCATAACAACCCTAATGCCCATGCTGGAAGGTTGTGGGTTTACTGGAATGAGGGCAAGGAACACCTGGCCCGCCCAGGGCGGAAAACCGCTTAAAGGCATTCTTAAGCCACAAACAATAGCATGTGTGACCTGTACCTTAAGGACATGCTCCTGCTGCAGTTAACTAGCCCAACTCATTCCTTTAATTCGGCCTATCCCTTTGTTTCCCATAAGGGATACTTTTAGTTAATTTAATATCTATAGAAACAATGCTAATGACTAGTTTGCTGTTAATAAATATGTGGGTAAATCTCTGCTCGGGGCTTCCAGCTCTGAAGGCTGTGAGACCCCTGATTTCCCACTTCACACCTCTATATTTCTGTGTGTGTGTCTTTAATTCCTCTAATGCCGCTGGTTTAGGGTGTCCCCAACTGAGCTGGTCCCGGCAACTGTCTATACGACACACAAAGTTCTGTGATGGAGGAATGTGCAAGGTGCCATGGGAACCCAGTAGAGTTTGCAAACCTTACCTGACTTGTGCAAAGAAAAACAGAGTACACAGTAGCTTCCCAAAGAAGGGGGACCTGGATTTGGGCTAGAAGGACAAATAGGAGTTAACCAAGCAAATGAACAGATTCATGTTCCAGACATGAGTGAAGACATGAAGATGTGAAACAGGATAAAATACACGTGAGGTATAACAAGTAGTTTAGAATCACTGTAGCAAGAAATGAGAGGCCAGAGAGATTCCCAGGGCTGAGATCATAAAAGGACTGGAACATAGTAGTACTCAATAAACACTTGATGAAAGAATTGGCTAGAGCTTTCATGAAGGAAAAGGTATAAGTATGTGGTTATGCATGTTGGACAAATTTTGTATGTCCGTTTTGTTAGTAGAAACAGGATATAATCAGTAGTACTCTACATCAGTAGAATTATAAGAACATGATTCAGTCAGCAAGAACTTGGCTCACTCAGCATGATAATTGGAGACTCAGGCGTAATAAAGAGGAAGTGGCTAGACAGTTTTTATATTCTTGTGACCACAAGAGAGAGAAGAGCTAGAGTGGTATCTGCACAGACACAGGCTAAGATCATATGGAGAAAGATAAAAGGGGCATGCACGGGGTCTGTGAGTTTGAGAACTTCCTGGATATAGCAACCATCTCTTTTCTCCTATAGGCCATCTCTTTTTTTTGTTTAACATAAATAAACCAAGTATCTGTGACTCCACCTGACCTTCTTCGTGGCATCATGTGGAAGAAACCCTGATCCAGAAGGGAATAGAACTCATATTCCTGGTAGTTGTTTTTTGAGAGTGGGCTTGGCCCTTTGCTGCTGCTGAAGAGGGAAGAGGATAGCCAGAGCTAAGAGAAAGAGGAGTCGACACGATCCATACTCTAACAACTCCATATTGAACATACTGAAACACACAGGAATCCTGGGCCAGAGTAGATTTCCAATAATTTTACGAAAACAGAGGCAATAAAGATACCATAAGTACTGGCTGTAAATTCTAAAAACTTTTCATCACACATCAAAAACAACTCAACAAGGTGAAATTTATTCCTTTTGATATCCCTAACATTAATTTCCTGTTCATAATTTTTTTAAAAAAATAAAAGGTAAGACTATGGAGGAAGGCAATCTGCTTAATTTTGCTGTGAACCTAAAATGGCTTTAAAAAAAATTTTGGGGCCGGGCGCGGTGGCTCAAGCCTGTAATCCCAGCACTTTGGGAGGCCGAGGCGGGTGGATCACGAGGTCAGGAGATCAACCCCGTCTCTACTAAAAATACAAAAAAAAAAAAAACTAGCCGGGCGTGATGGCGGGCGCCTGTAGTCCCAGCTACTTGGGAGGCTGAGGCGGGAGAATGGCGTGAACCCGGGAGGCGGAGCTTGCAGTGAGCCGAGATCACGCCACTGCACTCCAGCCTGGGTGACAGAGCGAGACTCCGTCTCAAAAAAAAAAAAAAAAAAAAAAAAAATTTTGGGGGGTCCGGGCCAAGATGGCGGTGCAGGTGGTGCAGGTAGTGCAGGCGGTTCATCTCAAGTCTGACGCTTTCCTCGTTTGTCTCAACCACGCTCTGAGCACAGAGAAGAAGTGATGGGGCTGTGCATAGGGGAGTTGAACGATGATCCAAGGAGTGACTCCAAATTTGCATATACTGGAACTGAAATGCGCACAGTTGCTGAAAAGGTTGATGCCGTCAGAATTGTTCACATTCATTCTGTCATCATCTTACGACGTTCTGGTAAGGGGAAGGACCGAGTAAAGATTTCTCCAGAGCAGCCGTCTGCAGCTTCAACAGAGCAGAGAGGGTGGCTGAACTGACAGGCCGCCCTATTAGAGTTGCAGGCTGGTATCATTCCCATCCTCATATAACTGTTTGGCCTTCACATGTTGATGTTCGCACACAAGTCATGTGCCAGATGATGGATCAAGGCTTTGTAGGACTTATTTTTTCCTGTTTCATAGAAGACAAGAACACAAAGACTGGCTGGGTACTCTACACTTGCTTCCAATCCACACAGGCCCAAAAGAGTTCAGAGTATAAGAGAATCGAAATCCCAATCCATATTGTACCTCATGTCACTATTGGGAAAGTGTGCCTTGAATCAGCAGTACAGCTGCCCAAGATCCTATGCCAGGAGGAGCAGAATGCGTATAGGAGGATCCACAGCCTTACACATCTGGACTCAGTAACCAAGATACATAATGGCTCAGTGTTTACCAAGAATCTGTGCAGTCAGATGTCAGCAGTCAGCAGGCCTCTCCTACAGTGGCTGGAGGACAGACTGGAGCAAAACCAACAGCATTTGCAGGAATTGCAACAAGAAAAGGAAGTGCTTATGCAAGAACTTTCTTCTCTAGAATAAAGCAGGAGACAAAATGGGGAAAGATGAAAATATCCAGGGTAAAGTTACTTAAGCTAAATCAATTTTGAAGAAGAAAAACTTGGAGGACTCATATCACCTGACTTCAAGACTTACTATAAAGCTATAGTAATCAAGATAGATGGTATTGGCAGAGGAACAGACACATAGATCAATGGAACAGATGAGAGAACCCAGAAATAAATCCACATAAATATGCTCAACTGATTGTGAAAAAGTGCAAAAGCAATTCAATGGAGGAAGAATAGCCTTTCTGACAAATTATGCTGGAGCAATTAGACACCCATAGCGAGGAGAAAAAAGAACCTCTACTTAAACCTCACATCTTATATAAAATTTAATTTACATAAAATATAAAAATGTATAATGGACTTAAATGTAATACATAAAACTATATAACTTGGAAAAAAGCCACAGGAGAAAAATCTTCAGGATCTTGGGCTAGGTGACAAGTTCTTGGACTTTGCCCTAAAAGCACATCCATACAAGACAAAAACTGATATCCTGGACTTCTTCAAAATTTAAAAACTTGTGATTTAAGAAGAGGAAAAGATAAGCTACAGATTGAGATGAATTTGCAAACCATATATCTGATCAATTTGGAATATATATCGTATGCTAAAAACTCAACTGTAGTCAGGCTTGGTAGCTCATGCTTGTAATTTCACCACTTTGGGAGGCGTGCTTGAGGTTAAGGGTTCCAGACCAGCCTGGGCAACATGGTGAGACTGTGTCTCTACAAAACAATTTTTTTTTAAATTAGCTGGGCACCATGACACACACCAGTAGTCCCAGCTACTAGGGAGGCAGGAGGAACACTTGAGCCCAGGAGTTTGAGGCTGCAGTGAGCTATGATCACACCACCACACTCCAACCTGTGTAACAGTGAAGCCTTGTCTCAAAAAAAAAAAAAAAAAAGGCCACAAAAGCTCAACAATAAAACAAACAGTCCAGTTAGAAAATGGGCAAAAGACATGAATAGATGTTTCACTGAAGAGGACATCTATATATGGCAATTTAGCATATGTAAAAAGCTGTTAAAATCCATAAGTCATGAGGGAATGCAAATTGAAACCACAGTGAAGGTGTGACTTACTTATCTGAATGGCTAAAGAAAAAATAGTGAAAATACCAAATACTGATGAGGATACAAAATGGGTATTTTATACATTGCTGACAGAATGTAAAATGTTACAATCACTCTGGAAAACAGTTTATAAATTTCTTATCAAGTTAAACATAATTTTTTAATCAAGTTAAACATAAGACCCAGCAGTTGTGCTCCTGGACATTCATTCCAGAGAAATGAAAACCTATTCTATTTGTACCCAAATATTCATAGAAGTTTTATTTGTAATAACCCCAACTGGGCCGGGCGCGGTGGCTCAAGCCTGTAATCCCAGCACTTTGGGAGGCCGAGACGGGCGGATCACGAGGTCAGGAGATCGAGACCATCCTGGCTAACACGGTGAAACCCCGTCTCTACTAAAAATACAAAAAAAAAACTAGCCGGGCGAGGTGGCGGGCGCCTGTAGTCCCAGCTACTCGGGAGACTGAGGCCGGAGAATGGCGTGAACCTGGGAGGCGGAGCTTGCAGTGAGCTGAGATCCGGCCACTGCACTCCAACCTGGGCGGCAGAGCGAGACTCCGCCTCAAAAAAAAAAAAAATAAATAAATAACCCCAAACTGGAAACAACCCAGATGTCCTACAACAGGTACATGGTTAAACAAACCATCCATAACTTGGAATACTACTCTGGAATGAAAAGGAACTGTTGATACAAGAACTTGGTTGTACCTCAGGGGTATTATGGTGAACAAAAAAAGCCAGACTCAAATGGTCACATACTGTATGACTGCATTTATATAACATTCTTGAGGTGACAAAGTTACTGAAATGAATAACAGATTAATGGTTGCCAGGGATAGGGACTGGAGGGGGTGTGGGATATGTATGACTACAAAGGGATGACGTAAGGAGTTCCTTTGTGCTGATGGAACAGTTCTATGTGATTATGATGATTATGATGTTGATTCTAACATTTGATTATGAGGTTAAGCATATGAATCTATACCTGTGCTGAAGTTGTATGGACCTACATACACACAAATGAATGCATGTAAAATCTGGTGATACTGAATAAAGTCTGTAGTCTAGATAGCAAAAAAAAAAAAAATTTCTTTAAGTGAATCTGGTCCATTAGTAGAGGAGCTGTGGCAGCTCAAGGCAGACAGCCTGAGGCCCAGATTCCTAATTTCTTGGCCCTAAATAGTGACTCTATCCCCTGATGCCCCTGGACTACCAACCTCCCCCTGGCTCCTCCAGGTACCTAAGGTCCCCTATGATTGGGCTTCTATCATTGCAGTGAACTGATACTCAAGCTCACTCAGGTGAAGGATAAGCAGGGCACACATATGAATACAGAAGAAACAACAGGATAAGGAACCAGAGAAGGGCTAAGTTACACAGAGGCAAAAAAACGAAGCAAAGTGTTGGTTCCAAGGCAGGCCCTGCAAGCCCATGAGTAAGAATTGGTGGCTTTTCTGGTACACCACTGCTAATGGGGTCACAACTGTCAATGTGTCTACACCACTCCTCTGGTTTATCTTTTCCATACTTGTTATGGAAATTCCCAAAACAGGACACCTAAATTGCTCAGTTAAACATTGCTATTTCTGTTTAGACTGCTCTTTTGAAACCAGGCCACATCAAAAGGCCCTTACAAGCCTGTGAGTGAACCATTCTCAGGTCAGGGCCTCCCCTTGTCCAATCAGCTTGGCTGGATCATTTGGTTTCTTAGCAGGGGCCCTGAGTCAACAGGGAGAGTGAGGGGTACAGTTACCCTTTGAAGGGACCATGAGTATGGCAAGCACTGTGAATTCATTTATGATACACTGATGGTGGCAATGCCTTAGAAGTTTCAGGAGTAGGGAAGGGAAAAAGTGACATCTGGGTGACAACAGAGACTCAGCAATACATTTTTAAAAAAACTACGGGTGCAATGACACACCTAGAAATTTCTAAAAAACCCATTCTCAGCACTCAGTTTTCCTTCCCCATCCATTCCAATCCATAATTTTGAAAAACATGTCCCACTCCCCAACATTCTAGGGATTAAGGTATTTTAATTGAACAAATGTTATGTTAAAAGACATCGTGGCAAGAATGTGAAGGTCCATCCCCAGACTAGATGAACTTTTTCCTTAGCTTATGGCTATGTCCACACCCTTACGACAGCCCTAATTATGGTTCTTGAACTTCTATTATTATAACACAACGATTTAGAAAAACAGTCTGCTCTATACAGCTAATGTCACACTATGGAAATGAATCATTCTGACCAAAAGCCTTGCTTCTGGCAGTGCCAATCCCTTCCTAAAGCAACTGCAAGCAGCCTGCCTCCCAGTCAGGAAGCATCTGGTAGCTGGGGCTCTAGAAGCATCCCTGGGAAGTCAGTCAGAACTAGGGAGACCACTAACATTTGTTAGGGGACGCTGGAATTGTTGAGCTCTGACACACGAACAAGTAGGCCAGGAAAAGTAACTAATCTTAGGAGCCTCATGTTAAGAAAAATTAAAGTGATTAGATCAATCCCTAAATGACTATAAAAGCAGAATCAAAAATATTCTATGATAATTGTAGCAAGTTGAACGTATTACAGGTATGCATTACATTTTCCTGAAAAGTGTATTTGAATTAGAATGCAAAGAACTAGAACACAAGAAGCCCTGGTTAGTTAGGTAGTTATGGTAGAAAATACACATACACACACCCTTCCTTTTTGTTTTTAGAAAATAAGAATGTGGATCTGTTCCAGTAGCCAGGGAGGGTGGAGTAGATATTTAAGAGGAAAGTATTTTGCTCTCCTAGTCCCTTTTATTACCAGAAAAAGGACAGGAGATGAAATCAACACTAAGTTTAATCCTGACTTCTGTTTCACTCTTCACAGTATTTTGGAGATATAAGTATTCCAAAGTGATCATTATATGAAATGCCATATATGTTCCTGAATTAAAAAAACAACTTGGTAGAAAGAACCAAAAATTGCAGGTATTTCCTTATTCCTCCAAATGTTTTCTGATTTCAATGTTTGCTTGTGTGTTTCTGAGAAAGAGTCTTCTCTGTCCCCCAGGCTGGAGTGCAGTGGCATGATTTCAGCTCACTGCAACCTCTGCCTCCCAGGTTCAAGCAATTCTCCTGCCTCAGCCTTCGAGTAGCTGGGATTACAGGCACCCACCACCACACTTGCCACCAGCCTGGCCAACATGGTGAAACCCCATCTCTACTAAAAATACAAAGAAATACAATTTTTCACCGCTTCTGGCTGAATTTTTTTGTATTTTTAGTAGAGATAGGGTTTCACCATGTTGGCCAGGCTGGTCTTGAACTCCTGACCACAGTTGATCCGCCCGCCGTGGCCTCCCAAAGTCCTGGGATTACAAGTGTGAGCTACTGCACCCAGCCTCAATGTTGTCTTTTTAAGTAAGTAAAGTGTCTGTTCTTTTGAATAATTATGAAAAATAGAAAGGCAGAGTTAACAATTACAGAACTTTTAATCGCTAGGAAGTATGTAAGTCACTACAAATGATTTTCATTTCTAAACAATTTTCAACTAACTTCCTAATCCCTTAAATTACCCTTCCTACTGAAGATATGTAAATGACAGAACATGAATCTTTTTTTTTTTTTTTTTTTTTGAGATGGAGTCTCGCTCTGTCTCCCAGGCTGGAGTGCAGTGGCCAGATCTCAGCTCACTGCAAGCTCCACCTCCCGGGTCCACGCCATTCTCCTGCCTCAGCCTCCCACGTAGCTGGGACTACAGGCGCCCGCCACCTCACCCGGCTAGTTTTTTTTGTATTTTTTAGTAGAGACGGGATTTCACCGTGTTAGCCAGGATGGTCTCGATCTCCTGACCTCATGATCCACCCGTCTCGGCCTCCCAAAGTGCTGGGATTACAGGCTTGAGCCACCGCGCCCGGCCCAGAACATGAATCTTTAAAAGAGAATAAAGAATTCACTATGTAAAAAAAAAAAAAAAAAAAAAGACTGTCAGGTGATTAATCACTTCTAATGACAAAAAATGTTTTAGGGTATTGAATTTGAACAAAGTAGTGTATATTCCCAAACACTGTTGGAATTAAGGGGACAATGAGAATCCTATAGAGTTCAAGTTTTCCGTCACATGAGTTAAGTAGCCTGTCTAAGTCAGTTGATCTCTGCACGAGACCTCTGATTAGATCATGAGATACTGAAGTCTAGAATAACAACGTCTCTTTTTAGAAATCCTTACACTAGGTAGTACTAGAGGAATGTTATTAGAATGAAATAAAAACATGAATCAGCATAATATTTACCCTTTTAAAAACAGATTAAGTAACCTCTTGTATGGATAACATACTTTCCACTATGCTAATGCAATTTTTCACATCATAGCCAGAAAGGAGTGGGCTTTACGTAGACTGTTAAAAAAGATAATAACATAAACTTTTGGTAGATAAAGCCTCAATAACTTGAACAGAAAAGACAAGAATAAAGATTGTTGCCCTGTTGCATGATAGTAATATGCTACATAAATTTCTTAAATTTTTCTTCTAACAACACGCAAACCTATTTGTCAGTTCAAAATGCTGCTTCTTTGAAAACACTATAGTAAATCCTTTAGGCTGAATCTTAGGATTTCAAGAGCCTGGCATTAAGCATCAACACAAAATTA